CCAAAATGTAATATCTTAAAAATATTCATTACACAACGTATGTGTTTACACTTTTCGATATATGAAAGCATAAAAGCCTTTCCTAACCGATAACGAGTTCTTTCTCTTCAGTCACAACTGTTGGCGCATCTGTTTTACGTTGTATGTTGAACAATACCGACAGCTTTAGTGGTACACACATGTCCACTGTGCAAGCCATTATGTTTAATGTGACGGGTAATTGATTGCGTATTTCTTCTTCAGGAAGTTTCACCGATATAGGAGTTGAAAGTCTACCCATCAATGATTTCGCCGTCCACGTATTTGCAGGTAAAGATACCTGCCATTCTTGCGGTGCGTCTGCATTTAATTTCAAATCGTTCGTAAATACGATATTAAATGAAATATTTAATTCTCCACCGCGTGCATTTATTGTCGTATCAAAAGTGAATACATTGTCAGTATTTCTATTCGAATCACGTCTGAATACGATAGCCATCTGAAAAATAAAATTAAGGAAGTTTACGTTAATCTTTCATGATTCATAAAACAAAGTTATATTTTTAAAGTGATTCTGTTAGACTTCTAGAAATACTTACAGTTGAAATCTTCTCATTTTTTAGATCAATAATTTTAAGAGCGTGATTGTTGGTATCTGCTACATAAAGAATGTTACCGTCTGGACTAGCAACAAGGCCACTCGGTTCATTGAACTAAAAGATTTTAATTATTTAATTATTTAATTTTTGCAAACATTTTTTATAAATTGTTGTTTCTTCAAAAAAATATACTTACGGTAAATGTATGATCGAATTTTTTGTCGTCAAATAATGTTTTGCAATATTCCGTCGTAGGATCTACGCTTTTAATTTTATGATTGTAAGTATCGGCCACATAAATTCGTTTATCCAAATGATTCCACGTTACGCCTAATGGATGTTGAAGTTTAGCCAAATGTCCTTTTCCGTCTGCATCTCCAAACGCATGTAAGTTCTACAATGCAAAGTGATTCTAAAAATTCTGATAAAATAAACATCATTGATTTACTGCTGTTATTCGAACGAAAACTGACACTTGTTTAGATATTCGAACAAATTGATTAAAGCTATCTCATTCATATATACAAATGCAAAGTGAGAAAATAAATGAAACCTATTTGTTATTGAACGAACCGCTGGATTTTTATCTCCTCCACAAACAGCGGATACTTGTCCGCTATCTAAATGCAGCCGTCTGATAGCACTGCTTTCGCTGTCCGCCAAAAACGCAACTTTACATTCCTGAACGATCGCAATGCCAGAGGGTTGTGCTAGTCCCGCGGTATGAGGATAACTGTTATTGCGATTTTCCTCTCGTCCACTTCCAACGATAGCAGCGCAAGTGCCCGCCGTGTATTTTCTAAAATACGGACATTCACGTATATTTTCGTTATCTGCGTGAATTATAAAAAATTGAAATTCATTATTAAATTAAATGTTCAAAGATCACATTTAAAAATGCATAACGTGAAGATATCATTAATTATGTAAATAATATCTCACTTTTCCTTCCACCAAATGGTATCTTCCAAAAACAGCGCCCAGATCTGATGGGTACCCGCTATAGCGATTAACAATACTGGCACCGTGGTGTCTTTATACTCGTGATGATAAATTGCCACATCCCAAGGGGACGATAAAGCTTGATCAGTGCCATGTTTTCCACCCTTTCGATCGCAACCTTGTGAGCCAGTACCAGCTACGGTGGATATGATTCTTTTTGCCAGGTCTATCTAAAACGTGATTAACATTGAGATTAAATATAGCAAACGTTGTGCTACAATAAAAAAGAAAAAATGATGCTTTTACTTACTTTTCTAATAGCATGGTTATTATTGTCCGCAACGTAGATTATATTATTTAGCACACAGATCCCTTGAGGTGAATTGAATCTAGCGTTTTTGAAATTGCCATCTTTAAAACCCTGATTACATCCTCCTATAATGTGTTCCACTCTTCCGTGCTCATTTGTAATTACAATCCTATTGTTACCACTATCAGATATGACTAGCTTTGTTTCTTGTTCTAACTGAAGAACCGTTAGTTTGCCAGGAAATAGCAGACCATCTTTAGAAGATGGTAAAAGATGATGCGCTGGCTTTAGTGGAAGACCATGATTTGACATTTGTTTTAAGGATTTAAAATAAGCTATTGCTATTTTTGTGTATAATAGTATTTCATCTTTGTGATTTTCACCCACAAAAACAGCCAGTGGTTGACCATTAGGTCCTGAAATGAATTTAAACACAGCTGTGACAATAGGAAGTTTTCACAAATAGTATAAATATGTATAAATTATGTAGCTGTTAGGAAAAAAAGCAAAGGAATCATATATTATTTCCTATATTATTATACCTAACATAATCAGGCTAGGCCAACACGTTATTCCCATATCATGCCACATTCTTAACGTTACATCATTTACCACAGGATGTGTGATATTATATCTCTGTACAGCAGATAAGACATTCTTCGAACTGCGCTCGTTTGTAAATTTTGCGCTATGCACTCCGATCTAAATAGAAGAATTATTAGTCTCGAACATCTTATCTAATATATCTTATCTAATATATATCTTTAATTTCTAGAAATTCTTTCCTGTAATAAAATATATTATACTTACTACTACGAGACCATCCTCTACAGAGATTTTCTTCTCGACTTCTTCCAGCTCGGCCAAAACATGCATGCAATTGATGCAGCAATATGTAAAAAAGTCCAAAAGCACAATTTTTCCTTTTAGATGCTGTCCTAGCGACAATCCTTCGGACACGTTAAACCATTCCAAGCCTAATGTATAATATATATCATTAAAAATTGTAACGATAATAATTATTGATCATTTTCTGCAGATAATAATCCAGTTTTAATTAACATATTACAAAGTACCCAAGTAGAACTGTAAGTCACGAAGATAATGAATTGTTACTAATTAAAAAGTGACTTTCATATACAATAATTTTGGAATCATTTTGACGTCATGATAACTTATTTGTTCTGCTTATAGGTAAATACTGAAAATTAATTTACAATAACCATAACGATTTAGCCATTTTTTCTGCAACAGATAACTGTCATTTATTTCTAACTAGCTATATTCGCGAAGTGGTGTTAGGAAGAATGCAGGGAACTTTTTTTCGTGAAAACCAGTACCTTTTGGGAAATCATGAGCTGCTCCGCTGTTTTCAAAGCGCCTGATGTGTTTTAGGATTAATATTTCTTTTTCCCTCTGTTGCAAATCATCCAGGTGGAAGCGCATCTGAATGCAGACCTGCGTCAACTCCTCCACTACTTCTTGCGTATTCATTTTTTTGTTTACTAGTCCGCACATCGAACGATCTAAAATAGATACAAAATTCCTCGAGCGATCGAGAGCGTTTGTTACATACGCACTTGTGTTACTTGCAATAGTTGTAACACTCGCAACATCAATTCGGAACGTCACTCTCTCTCTCACTTTTCTTGAAACCATCTGACGTGTTCCATCACGGACACCAAATGACGCTACTGATCTCGGACAACCTCGGAGGAAGAGATTAGCGAGGAGGGAGAGATTATACAGTTTTCTCATCGTGTCATCGAAGTCTAATTGAAAACATTGTCCGATACGTTATCGATTTAACGTAATCATTATCAATCGTTAATCTCTTTTGCACGTGGTCATTAACATGAACTCAGTGCCGCGGGTGCCGCAAATTTTGTTGTGAGACTTTGTATTTTTTTCGCGAACTGACGGATATGGCAGACTTAAAACCGAATGACGAATTGGACTGGGTGAAAATACATGAAGATCTGAATAACACTTATATTACCGAGACGTTTTTTCAGAAGGCGATACGTAAAACGCGAGAGAATCCACTAGTACCGATAGGTAAACTAACCTATATTTCGTAAGACGAGATAGAATTTATCGAATCAAATCCTTCTGTGTAATAAGAAGTCTGCGGAGATGTAGCTAAGAAAACAGGATAAAAATAATAAAGAGACTTGTACATCTGTGCAAAGAACCGCGTTTTATCGAGCTTGATTAGTCATCTTTAATAGCAAGGCTATTTTCTGCATTTGTATTTCTAGGAACCCTCGCGACTATAACAGCTCTAAGTATTGGACTCATCAGCTTTTATAAAGGAAAGAGAGAAATGCAACAATACATGATGCGTGCTCGTGTTGGTGCTCAAGCATTTACTATCGTTTGCATGGTCGTAGGATTTATAATGATACCCAAGTCAAAGTGAAATTGATATGTTGATTTATGAATCAACATCAAGTTTCTACTGTAGTATTAGGCTTGTTCTGGTCATATGATATACTTAATATGAACATCCCTTATATAATTTGGGATAATCTCTGTTGATGTTGTAAAAATATTTTGAAATAAAAATATTTACAAAAATGTAACTAATTATAATTAAAAATGTAACTAATTATATTTTTGATGAAAGTCGCAAACAGATATTTTCATTAAAAATATCCTTTTTATCGTATACGCAAAAAAATAATAAATGAACTGCATTGAAATCTTTCCAACTATATAGAAAAATTGCAAGGTTTTTGGAAAAGTAAATTGTATTTGGGTAACTATATATAGTTATATATTATTATTATTACATTATATATATATAAATATATATGCATATCTTCTTACAGCCATACTAAATATTGCAATGCTCATATATTTTCTAAATTCTTAAATGCATTATTATATAATAAGATTATTATATAATAAGACTATAGGGTACTATAGTACTATCCTTGTACTTTTAGCGATATATAAGATTTCGCATTATAAAAGTAGAAAAGAGAAAAATAAGAAATAGTTTAATCAATATCATTTGTACTGTATAACTATATCTAATATCAAATTTTGCATACATATTGAATTTATATATCAATCGATACATATT